GGAGAGGCATTATCGGAGTGTTCACAAGGCATATGACAGCGACTTCCCTCCGAGTAGCGAGTTGAGAAAGAGAAAGGTCATGTATTATTGCTACACAAACATTATCTCGCAGTCTTAGTGTCGCCAACTCGTTTCTAACATGCAAAAAGACAAACAAATGCGTCTATGGTCTGTGTATTTTCGATCTTTCCAATCGAGACGAGATCTTTCTCCCCCGTCTGTGTGCGAGGGGGCGGGGCAGTTTACACACACGCAGCTGCTACATGCAGGAACACACGGCGGGCATGGCGGAGAGAAGCGCTCCAAGGTGTGGTTAAATGTTACCCGTCTTGAGGTGGACAATGCTCGTTACCAATAGTGTTTAGCATGTATAGGGCGGTAACACGAGCAATTTGTCTAAACATTTAGCAAAAGTGCACCACATTCAGACGGAGGAATGCACCGGGTTCGACTGTCTTTCTAGTAGCTCTGTAGCCCCATCCACGAGCAACGTTTCCACGTCAGGTGTTATGTATGCTAGCAGCAACACACGGAGTTAACTCAATTATACAAACATGGGTTAATGATTAGAGGTAACTGAGTTATTTATTTTGTTAAAGTTTCAGCTATTCTGTTTACAGGTCTGTCATCAGATTATTTAATACGATTTTTTAAAACATTGTTGTTTCTTTTGATGTGAAATATTATTTATTTAATTTAAATAAAAAGCAATGTTAATTTTTTTTTAAATGTGTTTAGTTAATTTAATAATATATGTATTTTTGAATCAAGTATTCATCTTTATTGTCTTCATTGTTAGTTTCCACATGCCTAAAACAACCTCAAGCTAAATCTAAAAGTTGATGGCTAAATCAGAGCGTTTGAGAAATTGTGCAAGGCATACAGTAATAGTCCGAATAGTCGATTAATCGTTTCATTAATCGATAGATTCATCGATTATCCAATTAGAGAGATCATTTAAAGAGAGCAAATGGAGAGGCATCTTACGCGGTACATGGACAGGTCTATCCTCAGAGAGTTGTGAAGCTGGTCTAGTAGCTTGACAAATCGCTCTTTCTGCAGGAAAACAACAAAGAAATGGAAATATTAACACCAGACTACTTAAGAATATTTAAGAGCCGATGCCATCAACACCAGGATAACAAATGACCATAATGTTAAGAAAGGATTGCAAAAAATTTTTTTTAACTTTTGTTAGCAAAGCACAACCACAATTACACTTTACTTTTTTAAGTAAATTATGATATTGCGCTTTTTGTTCTACAAGCCTTTATGAATAACATTGTTGCATTTATTCATTATAAATGTGTCTGGCTGGTGTGACTCACCCCAAAGTTAGAAGCAGCAAAGCGGTCGGAGGCAGAGACGTTGTTGGTGGCCTGGGTGGTGTGAGCGTAGTAGGCGTTGATGTTAGCCAGGAGGGTACTCATCACCGCAGGCACACCTGGGCACATGTACTTAGATGACAGGCAGGCAAAGTGACTGAAAAAGAGAAAGAGAGAGGGACATGTAAGCAAATGAAGGATACTATACAGAGACCCTAATACATATAAATGACTGCACTCAAAGAAACAGGGTCTTATGTTAAAGGTCCCCTATTATACTGTTTTTCATCAATATATTATAGGGTCTCAGACAAAACATGTCTCTGAAGTGTTTGGCTCCAAATACCAAACAGATCATGCATTGTAGCATCCCATAATCCCCTCTGTTTCAGCCCTGTTTCAAAAAGGGCTGATTCTCTGTCTGTTACTTTAGATGAAAATAAGGAGCCCCTCCCCACGCCCCTCTGAGAGATATTTGGTTAAAAAGAACACAATGGTGCTCTAGGAGGAGATTCAGGTGATAAGGTGGGCGGGGGTTACCTTGGTTGCTGATTGGCTAATGGTTACACAAGCCAAAACATCGTTATGACATCCCAAAGGGGCCACAATCTGATCAGCTAATTTTCAGACAGGTTTTTATAGAAATGGATCAGGACAAAAAGAGAGAGAATCTTTTTTGCTGAAACTTTCAGAATCTCTTTACACAGATGTTACACATGTTGATGTATAACAGGCATGAAAAAGTGGATTTCACATAATAGATGACCTCTAAATAATCATATTCTAAGGTCAGGCTTTCAGGTAGCAACATACGTCATGGCCTGGTAGATGGACTCCACTCCATAACGCATTGCAAACTCATCCACAATTTCCTGGGGAGTCTCCTCAAAGTAGACCTTCCATGCGTCATCCCCTTTGGCGTCGGGGATCTTCACAACACCGGTGTTCTGGATATCTGTCACATAGTGGAAGAGGTTCTACCCAGAGGAACAGAGGAACGAGTTAGAGAGAGAATTGGAGGAAATATCTAGAGAACATAGGTGAGAAAGTGAGAAAGATATTGGAAAGGAAGGCAAAAAGAAATGACATGTAATAGAGAGTCTAGGTTAAAGAGAGAGCAATCAAAAGTGTTAAATGGCTTTTAAGAGCATTTGCACATCTTTAATCAAAGCTTTTTAATCTTCCATTGGACAAACGCAGAGCAGATTAAATCTGGTTTGTTCATCTTTAAATGGCTTTGCTACATAGATATCCATTACACTACATTACGAGGCCAACAAAAGGTGCTGTCTTGACTACTCGACCCTGAAGCGTTTATACTGCTGTAAAAGTCGTCTACGTGGTTTATGGCCACTTATGTGCAGCAATGACAGCGGCCATTTGTCTGTTAAGGTTCAGCTAATATGCTCAGTTGAGTAATGGGCTGAGTAATGACTCCACACAAAGCTGTGATCGGTCTACAATCAATCAGCACCGAGCCGGAGGAGAAATGTGTCAGATGACTTGCTGTTGGAAGTGGATCTTTATCTCATGAGAGCAAAGCAAACTTCCTGCAGTATTACCTTTATTTGAAATTGATCTTAACATTCGATGTAAGAAGAAAATAAGGAAATAAACCTGTTTGGCATGGCTCATCAGGAATACTGTGCACAGAAACACTCACAGGTACACAGACAAACACACTACTATGAACCCTAATGGAAAAAGTAGCATTGCAAAATCCTAAATTTGAATGATTGATTAATTGAAAAAAATCTGTTATTTAAAAAAATCAGCTTTTTTTTATTCTACAAATAATATGAGTGCTTCAAACTATTCGGTAGAGACCTGAGAGATTCCCTGTTCTTATTTTATCTAATGCCCAATCTGCTATTAGTGTGCGATTAGTGTGCATCTACATAGAAAACAGAGAGGTCTAAATTATATTGTGTACAATGTGTATGTTTTTATGCAGACCAACTATGAGTTAATCAGTGCACAGTGACTTGGACCTTTAAGTAAAAGCACATGAAGCTTTAACGTGGGATAATGTTTGTTTGTTTGTTTGTTTGTTTGTTAGTTAAAAGTAAGTGAAATCCATTGTCAATATTCCTTAAGATCTTGAAGCAAAAATGCATGTATAAAGCCTCAAAACTGTATTTACGAGAAGCTCTTGAATGTATTTAATAAGAAACTGTCTGTTCAAACACACAAACACACAATACATTGAGCTTACTTCATGCAAACAGGTGTACTGAACGTGATAGGGGGCCACCGTCTCCTCTCCTTTGATCTCTACATTAATGTGCATGCGGATAGCTCCAGACACAGCAGATTTGTCTGTGCGCTTGTCTGTGAAGAGCACAGCACATACAGCAACACGGTTACTGAACTGAAAACATCTGAATCAAAGAAGTTAGGTCATTCATATAACTGCAAACTATTCAAGGTATCAATACAGTTTCAATTAGCCGATATAAAGACATTCGACTGACCCAGATTGTACCAGACGTCCATCTCTCCGCTCAGAGTGCGGACCTCGATGATGGTTTGACCGAGGAAGTCGTCTGACTCCCTCTTGAACTTCTGCTTCACACGAGACTTAATGTCGTCGTCCTCATCCCACACTCGCACCTTGATGCGGTCCGATGAGTTGTGACATTCACTTAAACAGACACAGAGTCAGCTGCTGAATATAGTACTTACAATGACAGATGGCCAAGATGGAAAGGTGGATTACTATCAGCAATCATGACTCATACAAATATAAAAATACTGTTAATATAATCAACAGTATGCATATAGAAATGCTTCGCTGAATGAGTCAGACGATTATAACAGGACCGTTAAGCTGTTAAAAATACATTGTATAATGTTAATGAACAATTATTCCTTTAAGTCCTTCATCAAGCCACAAAGCTTAACATTTGCAGGTTACTCAAATGTGACGATTCGCTAGTTTTCTCTGTTGTTGACTTTTGCTTAACTGGAAAAAATAACCAACTTAATAACTGGTAATACAAATCAGAATTGTTGCAGCGCTATCTTAAATGTTACATATGTTTGCAAGCGGTGTTCACTCACAAATTAAAAGTCTCCTCCCAGACAGGGTTGAGGTTCCCATAGATGGTCTTGGTCCTCTTTTTGGTCTTTCCCACCTGGACAGTGACGTATGGATCACTGGAGCCGGTCTTATCCTTGGCTTGTAGACCCTGAGCACACAACACTGGGGAAAAGAGGGGAAAAGATGTCATGCTGGTCAGTCAATGTGTGTATGTCTGGGTGCAAATCATGTGACCTCGTGCTCTACTGCCCCACAAACGCCACCTGTGCTCTCTTCATTCAAACGCCAGCTTGTCTCTTTTTATAGACCGAACACCTGAAATGTGCCGTCCCCTCTGACTTTGATGTAGACAGGGTTGGCCAGCTCTGTTCAAAGCTACTGTACTGTACTGATTCAAAGGTCCCCTATTACACTGTTTTTCATCAATATATTATAGGTCTCAGATATATACAAAACATGTCTCTGAAGTGTTTGGCTCCAAAGCGGTACCAAACACCAAACAGATCATTGCCAGCATCCTCATAACCCTCTGTTTCAGGTGTTTGCAAAAGCCTGGCCTGTTCTCTGCTCTGTTGGTTTATGTTACTTCAGATTAAAAAATAAGGGAGCCCTCCCCACGCCGCTGCTGAGATGGAATTTTGCCGTACAAAAAGAACACAATGGTGCCTCTAGGAGGAGCATTCACGGCCTGATAAGGGTGGGGGCGGGGGGGGGGGGTTACCTTGTTTGCGTGATTTGTGCCTAAATGGTTACACAAGAACAAAAATATCGTTTATACATATAAAGTGGCCAAAAATCTGAATCGAGATCATGTTCAGATCAGGTTTTTATTGATAAATGGATTCAGCCGAGAAAAAGTGAGCAAATCTTTTTCCTTGAAACTTTCAGGAATCTCGTTTACACAGAGGGCAGCTCTTTCCCATACATTGATTTATTTGTGCGCCGGGTCCGCCAACAATTAAATATCGCTGCCGCCACAAATGGATCTCAGTAAAAAATCATCATATTATTATAAGTTTTTCTTTTTCTGTGAGTCTAATTGATAGTTGAGGTGGGCTGATGAGCGGAAGTTGCGAGTTCAAAATCCTGCCTGGTAATATATTTTGCTCTTTTTATTATCCTTGTATGTAGTGTATATTGTCTCTCTGTGTTACTTCTATTGTATTGTGTCCCTGTAATTGGTCATTTGTAGAATGATATTTTGTTTGTGTATGTATTATTATAACCCCTACTGGATCCTCAACTCGTTGTTTGTGTTTTTTTCATTCTTTCATATTATCATACGCTCATTACTATCATGTTTGATGTCAACAAAGATCGTTGTCTACAGTAGCCATGAACTCGCATGTATTATCTTATTTGAGGGGGGGTGGATGCATGGGATCCACCCGAATAGGTTAAGGGCCTTTTGGCTTTTTCTTTCCCGGGGGGTGTCTGTTGTCTGGTGCCCCTTCTATATTATTGTATCTGTCTGTGTTGGATTATATCTCTATCTGGGAGGGGACATGCATGTTTTTATTTGTTGTATATGTATAAAAGAAATGAACAAGTGGATTTTGCACAATAGATGACCTTTAACTCCCCTCTCACCTGTGATGCAGATCTTGGCCGACCATTTAGAAGTGCCGTCGAGCACGCTCTGTTTGATCTGCTTCATGTGGGTGACGTGGGTGGCCTTGGGGGCGGCGAACATCTCCTGAATGAGTTCGAAGATCTCAGGTTTGTTCCTCTCGCGGATCTTCATGCGGTCTTTAAGAACCATGATGATGTTCTGCGTTCGGTCCTCAGCGCCGTGTTTGGAGCTCTTCTCTGCTGCTCCTGGTTACAATACAGATTAAGACCGGAAAGGATTAGACGTTTTAAAGTGGTGTCATATGAGAGGTGTTGATATTTGATAAAGTGATTAGTGAAGACAATAACAGAGCAGAACAACATTGCATGGCGGATGCATTTCTACATGTTTAAGGAAGAGGGATTTCAATACATTAAAGAGAAGAATGCCTGTGAAGAATGTGTAGGGGATGAAAACCTATATATTAATATATCAATGAAAGAGGGCCACATTTGCAGAGCTATAAAACGCTGAGTAAAAGAGAGATGGAAAAGCGAGGCGGATGACAACAAAAGACAAATGGCTTTTAATATCCTCTCAAGAAAACGACCAAAATAAGAAAGTAGGAGTGAGGGAAGTAGGAGGAGGAGGACTCTGTGCTTGGCAGTGACAAATAGCGATAAGAGGAAATAGATGGAGTAGATAGTTTACTATTATTAATATAAAAACATCAGCACTGACACAGCGAAAAAATATAAAAACATAAAGTCAGCAAATGGTTGTTCGGCTCCTGTAAATATGTCATGGTATATCTCAGTAACACCATGTGAATATTATACTTGCATATACGGTACTATGAATATAATACGAAGTCAAAGCTTTAGCTCTTATATATCCCTAAATATGATAGGCTATACAAAGCCTATTTAGGACCAAGTACTAAATATATAACATTAAAAGGAATAGCTAAGAAATGTTGGGAATTTGCTTTCTTGCCAAGAGTTAGAAGATTGATGCCACGTTCATTTCTGTACTGTAAATATGAAGCCAGCCCTGCTCTGAAGGTAACCTGCAGACAACTAACACTAAAGCTCACTAATCACAATGTCATATATAACTTGTCTAATAAGTAAAAACATTTTAACCTTTGGATAGCTGTTAAGCTAGGCTAACCGCGAGTGGTATCAAGCGTGTGTTGCTTACTTTAAATTACATATTTTGAATCCTGCCTTTTTTCCAGTATTTTAGTGGCTAAAACGGCGCGTAGATGTTCGGGCATTTCACTTACTTTGCAGACAGTCGGCATTGAGTAGATCTTGGCACTTCTCGTGGCATTTGACTCCACACTCGGTACAGCGCATGCCCTGGCGAGCGATACCCCAGAGCAGCCCCTCACACTCGTAGCAATAAGTAGGTGTGGTGGCTGTCCACACCTCGAAATTGTGCGGGGTTGTGCAGGAGATTGGATATATGAGGGCCTGGAGGGTCTTCTTGTATACATGACTCTTCTGCAGGAGAGAGAAGTAAAGGTTCAGCTGAGTATTTTAAAATTATGATGTGAGATACTGTGAATTATTATTCTAATCGAGTACTGACCAGTTCTTCGTTGTGCAGGGTGCTGGACGTCAGGGCTGAGGTGATGCCTGCCTTCCTGGAGCTCTGAACCAATGACTGAGTGACAGGAGAGAGGAGGGGTCAGTTTCCCTCAGATCCCTACTCAATATCTGATTTCTTTATCAAAACCATGATCAAGACACATCTCAGTGCAGCCTGTGAGGCAATATGTTTGTATTACTGTCTGTCTGGCAATGCTCCCCTGCAAGAAAACCAGAGATGACTGCTGCAGCATTTAAAGTGCTTCCTCTCCTAAGAGGGATCCATTTTCTGGTGAGATGAGAAAACTAGTATACCTTCAAAGGTGTTGAAGTTACTCACCATAGCCTTTGGTTTGGCATTGACGGTGGAGGGAGGGAAGGGAAGGGAGAAATGTGATGTTAGAAAAAGGCGAGAAAGAGTGGAAGGATGGGGGGGGGGGTCCATAGGGAGTTAATAATGTTAAGAAAGGCTGCATTCATTGCGCATATGCTGTGGTTATCATTTTTAAACAAAAATGGACATCTGCANACAGGGGGGACATGTCCCCCGCACTTTTCGAAATCCCGTTTGTGTCCTCCCACTTTACAAATATGATGACGGGTTGCGTTAAAAAATAATAATAATAAACATATTTGTAAAGTGGGAGGACACAAACGGGATTTCGAAAAGTGCGGGGGACATGTCCCCCCTGTCCCCAGTGGAGATTACGCCATGCGTGTGTGTGCGTCAAGTGGAATAAATATATATGCAAGTTACAACACACACAGAGTAAAACTCTGCTCCTCATGTGTTGTATAGGCTGGCATGATAGGCTGTTCAATGGGGCTGATGTGTTGTGTAGATTCTGCCAGAAGGAAAATCAGCGGGGAGGTGCCACATTGCTTTTCTTCCCGACTGCAACGCTGGTCCCGCAAATCAAGCAAGAACGTGATTGGTCGATATTCATTGTGGGGGTGGGGGAGGAGGGGTGTTAGATAGATATAGAGTTGTAGTAAGTAGATAGAGTTCGCTATGATTTAGGTTTCGTTTATGCATAGAGTAGATTATTTTAATTACATTTCCTTTTTTGTTTTGGATTTGCTTGGCGAGCTATTTTTAGAACATGCCCGGCGGGCGACTCACGTTGCCCCTGCGGGCGACTGAGTGCCCGCGGGCACCGTGTTGGCTACCCCTGAGCTAGGACAACTCAATAACATTATTCTCTAATCAAATAATGTATGAGTCTGTGAGCAATGAGGGTTCAGTGCTACTGAATACAAAATAAAAATGTAGTAATTACTGTTGGACTTTAAGCATAGGAGAGAAATTTTATTCAACATGCATTTGATTGCTTTATTCTTTCTCTCAGAACATGAAAAAAATCGCCTGTGCAAGAGTGCGGATTACATGAACCTGCACTTTAAGGTCAAGTGGCTGTTCAACGAGTATTGCAAAGACCTGCCCTTCTTCAAGAGCAGAGTGCCTGAATATCCTGCGTGAGTAACAACTCCTTGACGCTTATCCAAAAAAGAAAGTAAAAATAAAGCAATGGAAATCCTCATCTTGTCCATCTGCGATCCTAGTTTGTGAATATGTACATATCTTCTGCCCTCCACAGGTGGTTCGAGCCATTTGTCATTCAGTGGCTGGACGAAAACGAGGAGGTGTCTCGGGACTTTCAACATGGTGCTTTGGAAAGAGACAAAAAAGATGGGGTAAAAGTTTCCAGCTCTCTTTATCTCCCATTCACTCCTTTGAAAGCGTTGACTTGTTGTTGTTGTTGTTGTTGTTGTTGTTGTTGTTGTTCAAGCAGAATGACTGTAATCCATCCTTTGTACTTCCTCTGTCACACTCAAAGTTATCAGCCAAAGTGTCTTCCTCTTTCTGCCGCTCTGCCTCCCACACTTTGCCCGCTCCTCAAAGTGATTTATTGAATTCTTCAAAGGCAATAAGTGAAGCATGGATACGGCAGGAAAGACTTGAGATTGAAGTAGAACGTGTTCCTCGGATAAGAGGGTGTTTCCGTCAAAGTACTCTTTGGAAGTTTATAGAAGTGGGGTCTAGGCGTGCATGCGCTTAAGTACTAGTATATATTTTTAATATTGGTAAATATTGTCTGCTTATCTGTATTGTTGTGTTGCATTGTTGGAGAAGCCTGTGACCTAAAATGTTCAACGACATACCGTAATTTTCGGACTATAAGCCGCGCCTTTTTCCCCATTTTTCGACGCTGCGGCTTATATAACGGTGCGGCTAATCTATGGATTTTTACAGCTAACGGCNTTATCTGTATTGTTGTGTTGCATTGTTGGAGAAGCCTGTGACCTAAAATGTCCAACGACATAATTACTCTGTAGCTATAGTTAGTTTGACAATAAAGAACCTTGAACCTTGAAGGCGGCAGTGAACCGCAGTGACAGTAAGATATTGTGAATGAATGGCCTTATTCTAGAGTTTGACTGCAGGAGAGCCGTCTGCACCTTATTACCCAGACTCCCCAGAGGAGCACCTTCACACTCACCTCCGGCCAATTAGGGACAAAGGGCTAACCAATTACAGGGAGATAGACAGGAGCTCCCACCTGTCACCCAATGGCTGTCTAACTCGCTCTATGGCTGGTTGGCTCTAAGAGGTCTACCGCTTTGTTCATGTGATTGAAAATATCAAAGGTTCAGTTTAAATGTGTCTCTAATGATCCGTCTATTTTGTGTTAAGGGCCCAGATTTCACATCTAACTAGGCCCCTCAAATCACATCTTCTCACCTGCTGCTCATAAATTGTCACTTATGCCTTGTCCAAGTTATTTTCATCCCAGTTTTTAAACTTCTCGCACACCTTTTCTGCCCTACAGTTCCAGGTCACATCCGAACATGCTCTGTTCTCCTGTTCGGTGGTGGACGTGTTTTCTCAGCTCAACCAGAGCTTTGAGATCATCAGGAAGCTAGAGTGTCCGGATCCACAGATCGTAGGACACTACATGAAGCGATTTGCGAGGGTAAATTCGGCCAATCAAACAAAATCAATGTACAACAAACGGGTCTTTAAAAGTTGTTTTTAGAACAGCTTATTGATGATAACATGTTGTTCTTTCTTGTTACCCTTTCAGACCATCAGCAATGTGCTCTTATCTTATGCTGATGTCATTTCCAAGTTGTTTGCCAACTATGTCACCATGGAGAAAGTGGTAAGTGGTCGAAAACTGGATGAGTCTGTGAGGGTTTTCACAATCAGCACTTGGAGTTCTAATATATAATAGTCTATATCAGGGGTGTCAAACCCAAGGCCCGGGGGCCAAATCCGGCCCGTGACTTCATTTGATGTGGCCCACAAGAGCTTTCAAAGAATATAATATGTTTATTATACGGTTACATGCCGATTTACAGAAGCACGTTGCCCACCATAAATTTACATGTCCCACAATGCATCTCAATTTTGACTTGTTTTCCTCAGAATTTTGACTTTTTTTCTTAAAGAATGTTCATTTTTTCTCAGAATCTGACTTTGTATTTTTTTTTCAAAATTTCATTTCATTTCATTGTTGTTTGATTTTGGCTTTTCTTTTAACTCATTTGGTGACCTTCTCCACTGAAGAGATTGCAAATTGTATATACCCTAGGACTTCCTGTTTCAGGACATAGTTAATTATTGAGTTAATGTACACCTATCGTAATCCAATTGCAGATGGCTGAATAACTCTAATATAATTCACTTGTTTCATATAGGTATTATAAATATTATATATATATATTGTCTTTTTATTAGTCTTATATATAAAACTGCGCCCTTTGAGTGCACCATGCATGCTAATGTGGCCCGGTTTTAAATTCAGTTTGGGGACCACACTGGTCCAATATAATACAATTTGCAGTCGTTAGTTAAGCACTGTTGTTAAGTGACAGCTGAGGTCATGGTTTTATATGATTGTTTTTTGAGTCCTGTACCACCAAGATAAAGAATCTATTTGTCTTTCTTTTCCTCCGCCTGCTATACTGATCACAACACCAACAGCTGAGGTTCAACTGGAGAAAATGTTTGAAGCTCAATGCGGTGGAAAGAGTGTTAGTCACCTTTTTTTTTTTTAAAGTCTCTCTGGAGTTCATATAGGACCGGCCGCCGCCTGAATGATTTGGACAGGCTTAGTTTTTTGTGTTAAATTCGGGTATTGGTCACAACTGGCCAACTGTATCCACGGGACATGCCAAAAGCTGTTCCATAAGGGGATACTATTATTGCAAAACTCTCTGCCAAGTCACCATAACCATGCTCTGTGTGCTGTTTCCATATCGTACTTTAGCTGTGTGTGCAGAGGCCCAGGATTTCTTAAGGAACTTGCAGATTAAGCTAACAATGTCATGCATGATCTCAGCGGGTCTTTGCTGTCAGGTAATACAAACGCTCACACACAAAAGTCATTCATTAGCAAGAGTTTGACATTATCTGTGATGTATATTTTAGATTATGCGATGCACACTTTGTATAATATCTCTTTGTACTTTGTCCCTTTGTAGTTCCGCTCACATAGAGGAGGGATGTGAAGCGCGCATGGGACAGTCTTGGCATCAGGTTGAAGGGAAAGCCTCGAATGTGGGGAAACGCAGCAGCGGTGGCAGGATGACTGACAACGTCCTGCAGCCTATCATGGGTTCCTTAGCAGCAAGTTGAGGCAGTCTGTTATGTTGAAGTAAGAATCTAAAATGGAACATTTATTACTTTGATCCCACTTAGAGAATACGTGCATAGGGTGGACACAGTTTTGTCTGCTTTAAGAAATTGTAGATGGTCTTGGTGGGATATCTGATGTTAAGGACATACATTTTCAATTTATTTTATAGCCATGTAAGATGGATTTTCTTAAGCTAACATCTATTGTCAAAGCAGGAATAAGACGGACTAGAACGGCATTGCCTGTACTCTAAGGTATAGTTGATAATACAGGAGAGTAAATTTCCCCAAAATCTGAGCTTCTGGGCTTTTTGACAAGCCTTCAGCTAGGGATTTCAAATCCCGCGGGTCGCCTCCTGTTTTTTCTGTTGCTTATTATTCATCGCTCCTTCCTCTGTCTCGGCCCTCCTGCCAGCGCCTGACTCTTGTTTGCTAAGTCTAGTGAGAAGACGCAGTGCTGAAACGGTGTTGAAAGGGCGTGTGGGAAGCTTGGGATGAACACCATGGAGAGAAGACCATTGCTCCTGCCGCCATCACGAGCAAACGGTGAGAGTGAAGGCGAGAGACAACACAACCCACACAAACACTAAGTCGTACAATACACATCGAATTGGCTGCTGAGCCAACACATGTCGTCACTCTTGCACCCTTTGTTGCCTTGCTGGTACATGCAAGAACAGGTGGNTATGTGCCAGGGCTTAGCCCCGGACAGCCCCAGCCCAATTTAACCCCTGGGTATTTGTGAGGGAGCTCCTATATGGCATTACCCCGTTGAAGCTCACGAAAGTTTAACACATTGCATAGTTCAAAGTTTTGTCAATTGTTTTGTTTATTGGTCAAATACTGGTTTCTAATGTTTTCTGAGGAGTTTTACTGGAATGAAAGAGCACAGAGTTACAGAAGCAACAAAGCAGCATACTGCATTAAACCTGACCTTCACAGAGAGGTTGAAGTTCATGTGGAAAGGAGGCTTCAGTAGTCTGTCTGCACTCTGTTTAGTTTTGCTATCTTACAATCAATATAGTAAATGTGAGGTAAAGTGTGTCGCCAATGTAACCGGTTAGAACTCAAAGTTGCGATGAGGTCTTAAAATGTATGGAAAGGGTCTTAAAAAAGGTCTTAAAAGGTATTAAATTTGACTTCAGGATTCCTGCATATACCCTGTAATAACATCGAAAGTAATATAAATGATTTAGAGATCAAAACATTTGTACTCATTTTCCCTCAGACTAACATGACATTGTCAAATAAATATAGATAAACATAGATAAACATCTAAGTGTTGTCATTTAAAACGTTGTTATAACTCTTCACTGTAGAACAGGGGTGTCCAAACTTTAAACCACATACAGAAAAATATACGAAGGGCTGGGCCACTCACTAGAGGTATTTCGCCTCTTAAGTTCAGTTATGAGTTGGAAAAATCAATCCAATGTAGGTAAATTATTCTTGATACTTGATTGCTTATAATAAGAGGAAATATGAAAGGGTATATTTCAAGGTTGTTATGTATATTTGTTACTGGGCTTTTTTTATTATCAATTTAGATTTCTTAGAACATGTTTTCAACTTTAATGGACTGAACATGAATACTGTGTAATATATTTGACCATATATATTTAAGAAGTACAATATAAGACAAGCAGAAGTTTATTATATTAAGTCATTATACTTTTTGAATTTGCTGAGGGCCGAATCAAAATGGTTTGCAGGCCACATTTGGCCCCCGGGCCGTAGTTTTGACACCCCTGCTGTAGAAGGACATGTTGCTCTGTATCTGCCCACACCAGTGCAAATGGCCGGGTTTTAGTCACTCAATCTGAATTTAGTTCATGTTTTTCTGAGTTTCTGGTTACTCGACGTTCCTCAACAATCTGCCATTTTGTAAAGTCTCTTCAGGGCCTAATAGCATTAAGATTTACTGTTCTTTTCTTTTCCCTTGGCTGTAATTTGTCTCACTTTTTGAGAGGAAACAAGCAGGATAAATCATAAATCAAACTCCCACTCACTGAAAGAGAAACTAATAACTTAAACTCAAGCAGCAGTTTCTGATCATTTGGATACCAATATTCCTGGATCCATTTTGTAATTGTCCTTTGCTTGATTTCTGTATTATCCTCAGTGTTATGTAAAAAGCACTGTGACACTAGTGTGCGTTCCCATCATCAGATCCAGGTCTGTCTCATCCGTCACTCCTGCATTGGATTTCAAGAGGGATTTCTAAAACTAGCTTTGAGTCATCATTAAAGCGCTTATTCGTTCCAGAGTCCCTGGTGAATTTCAAATAAGCCTTTTTCCCTTTGAATAACACATTTCATCCTCAGGGACGTTGCTATATATTGTTGAAATCTCTGCAAGATCGTTCTTCACGTCTCAAACCCTGCGGTGCTCGGCTCCTTTGTTTTCGTCCTCCAGCACATCTTCAGCTATTTCAAAGAAGTCGTCCAGACAGTTGACATTCTGGGTCTGTTCAAAGCTGTTTTAGCAGCTAATCTTGAATATGTATGAGTTGTTGACTTAACAAACACAGTCAGGATTTCCCCCAGAAGAAGTCTTGTTGTCTCAGACATGAAAAGTACAAAAGTGAAATTCACATTTAGAGCACTGCATTCATTACTGAATTATAACTTGTTTTTGGAAGATTGTCCCAATGATTATTTGATCCATAATACGAATAGATATTTTGATGAGGTTTTTTTATTTTGTGATGATGAGGAAATTGTTAGAAAATAAAAATTGATATGTTTTGAGTTTTGACTCTAAAAAACGGAGATTGAGCAGAATATAATTATCTGAAAACTCTGCATATCGTGGCTTCCTTGCTTTGTTTCCTTTAAGCCACTTTGAGCCTTTTAAACAGACATCTATACATAATCTTTTACTTCATCTGTTGTAACTTACAGTTGTAATGACTCTTTTTGGCTTCTGATGATGTGTTGATGTTATGCATCTCTTTTTTAATCAAAATAAAATAAAATAATTTTCAAACACATTCAACCAAGTCAGCAGGCCTTTACAATAATCAAACAAGAGTCAAAACTCAAATGATATGATGAACAAACTGAGATCGTCTGTTTTCTGGTATGTTGTACATGATATAATGATACGGTTGTAAACTGTGTCCTGACGGCGTCTTCCACACAGGTTGCCCATGTGTATCTTAAAGGCTGGCACCATGGGAATTGTAGTCTTTTATAGTTCCTTGACTACAGAGGTCACCATTAGATGAAAATATTATGACCTTTTAACAAAAACAGAAAATGTGTGTATGTGTAAATGATACATAATCTATGCAAAATGTAGGAATAAGATATGTTCCAAAAAAACAAACATGCATGTTTAGATATACAGTATATTTGTTAAGTATACAACTCGATTAAGAATGTTTATAATAATACATTTCTCTAGGTTTAGATAAAGTTAGACATTTTGTATTATGTATCTACTAAAATGGTGTCACACATAGTTACATTTTATGAAATACCGTAATTTTCGGACTATAAGCCGCGCCTTTTTTCCCAT